CACGCCTGCCCGCGACTCTTCTACCTGGAGGTTGCAGACTACATTCCGGAGGACGCCATCGCCTCCGACCTTGCCGCCCCAGCTGCCGTGAAGGTGTTTGACGCTGGTTGATCACCTCGAGGAGTTCAGCAAGCGCTTCCCCACCTTACAGCTCGAGGACGAGCTGTTTGTGCAGGCGGGGAGAAGTGTTATGACCAACATATTAGGGGCTTAGCCCAGTGGGTTATGGCCCAAGTATCTTAATCATTATTAGGTGCTTAGCCCAATTATATTATTGTATTAGGATCGTTTGCTTAGGAGTCAAATAAACCTCTCTATATAAGGAGAGGAGATGTATCAATCTAAGGAAGCAAGAAGCAATCAGTATTTGCTCGGCTTCCCTTAGGGAGCTGGGAGACCTAACCCTAGCCGCCTCTTGCGTCCGCCGCCGTCGCACCAGCTGCAAGGACGGCGCCCAGCCGCTGGCCGCCGCGCAATCTCCCCCGACCTCCTCCCTCCTTCCCTTACAGGCTACGCCCTAGACTGGGTAGAACCCTAGTTTCTGCCACAATGTCTAAGAGCATCTCCAACAGACGCCTTACGGAGCCACGCGCTAAATCTTTTTTACATCGCTAAAATAGCGTTTTAGTGCGCCGGATGACCGAACATTTCCAGTAGACACCCAAAAATATACTGCCCAGCTACATCTCCACCAGACGCCTAAAATTAATCACACGCGCCCGTACCTAGCTTGCCGCCATGGTCGTGGCCGCGCTCCTCCCCTGCTCACCCTGTCGTGGCCGTGGCCCGCAGCCGCCATGGCCGTGGCCGCGCTCCTACCCTGCTCGCCCCGCATGGCCGCGCTCCTACCCTGCTCGCCCCACCGTGGCCGTGGCCGCGCTCCTACCCTGCTCGCCCCGCCATGGCTGTGGCCTGCTCGCCCTGCCGCCGCCGTGGCCGTGGCCGCACCCGTGCCCCCATATATGTCTCTTTCGATCAATGTTGAACTGTTAGAATATTTACGTATCTAATAAAATACTTAATATGTTCCCCACACAACACATTGCTAGTTAGTCGATATTATGATACTACTATCTAGATCCACTAATATATGCCCAATCTACACATGAGAATCATTTACCTTGCAACATATTAGTTGATTCTAAGTGGGTTTCAAATGTCATTTGATTTAACTGTGACACAACACATTACCTATTTTTCGTACCCATGCAACCATGCCACTTTCAGCATCTCATGCATGTAAGTTAAAAATTATATTTCCTTTCTGCAATAGCATATCCATGCAGCACTCACAAGTTCATGCATGTAAATCATCGTTTATTTTTTTTTGCATTACATTTTGTGCTCTCATAGACACGTATATGTGTTGGGCACTTGGAGCATGCCTATATAATAACACTCTTTTTCTCTATTGCTAAATGTCACAACACACTATCTATTTTTCCTATATATAATTATGCCACATCAGCAAGACATGCATGTAAGTTGTACACTACATTTTTGCATTAGTATGTCCATGCAACACTTCCATGCCATATCAACTTCATGCATGTAAGTTATCAATTAATTATTTTGCACTAAGTTTTGTTGTCTCATGGACACGATATCTGTGTTGGGTGCTTGGAGTATACCTATGTAGTCGACCCTCCACTTTTTGTGTGTATAGAATGGTACTCTCTTAACTACAATATAATATATCTTTTCTCTTTGGTACATGAATTTTTATATGCTTGATGATTTTAATGTATTTAAAGTGTATATCAAGAAACACTCTTACAATTTATTTTCATTAGTTTTAGTTGTTTATGTAGCACATAACTATGCATTTCTTTTAACAAGATTACGGCAACAACGCACGGGGTATCATCTTACTAAAAGTGTTAGCCCACACTTACATATTTTTCTCAACATGCACACATGCAACCTCACCATGCAACGCATGCATGTGAAAGATCCATCTCAAAATGCAAATATGCATGGAAAAAGACGCAACTCAATAGTTAAATATAGTAAATCAATGTGTTCCTTGTTTTATAGATGTAAAATTCATATTACATACAGCCAAATCGAATCAAGATATATTTCAACCGATTCCTGCAGCAATGCATGACGTATCATCTATTTATTGTAATTCTTAGTCATAGGAGTTACTTTGTATTTTCTTGGATCGATCTTGGATCCAAAGCAGCATACCTATAATGGTTATGTGTATAAATAAAATTAAAGTTTCATCAAGAGAAAAAAACACATATTTTTTCCTTCTATTCTTTTTTAAGGTTTTCCCACTTTTGTTTTCTCTTATTTTCTCTATTCTATTGGGTAAGTCTCTAGTGTTCTGGGTATATACAAAATAATAAAAGTGCATTAATACTTTCTTCAAATTACATGAACATTTTTTCGAATTGAAACATGAACATTTTTAAAGTAAGTGTGAAATCTTAAAAAAACATGATGAGCAACTTTTAAATATGTAATAAACATTTTTGGTACTACTCGAGAGCACTTACACCTTTCCAATCTGAAAAAACTAGAACACTCAGGTCAACTTCTCTAGTAGTATGTCACATGACAGCTAACATCAGGAAATCTCACAACAATTGTAGCATGACAAAACCACAATCCTTCCAATCAAACATTGATCCACACACATTAAACACCATAGATAGTAATCAAAGCATAACAAGCAATGCCTTCAAGAAGGATACACCTATAGGACAATGATGTCAGAACTAGCCAATGAAGGCCAAACCACAGTTTTCACATTCAAATTCAAGACTCGGGATATCTCACTTGGAGCATGCTTGTTTCCCATGAAAGCTCTTGTAGCAACTCAAAAAGTGTCCCGTATGAATGGTCCCGATGAGTCGAGAACCATGCAAGTAAATATTATCCGAGGAAGGTCAGAGAAAGAGTGGTATGAAAGGTATTCTTGGTCGGTTCCTTTCCTGCTAACTACAACCTAATTTCGTGTACCGGCAGAGAGTTTTAATTCTTGAAGATGTGTAATGTAAGAGCCTGAGCATATTGTACTGACAACGAGTGTCTAGGATCCCCTGGGGTCCACATGTAATCGTGCCAAGGTAAGTACTCGGATTAGATAAAGATAGATGCGGTAACGAGATCCTATCGTAAGTAGAAGATCTTTACCTAGTTTAACTAGGATTTCATCATATCGTGTCATATCAATAACAAAGAGTATTAAAGACTTGGCGGCAAATAAGGCGTCTCTATATAAATGCTAGGAGACCCTACCAAAGTCTCAAGTCATTCACACAACCATTTTTTTTACAAGAACTAGATTTTAGATGCAATTTAGCTTGCTTTTGTACTTTCAAAACCCTCATATATCAATATACACTCGTAGGAGGACATATGGTTTTATCCATCTTGCAGACCCGCATATAGGTAACAAATGTGCCTTTATAATCCTCGATGAGATCCTCTTGTTCTCTCACCTCTACCATCTTCCATGACTGACAACATGGTATTAAGATCTGTTCTAAATTCATATTCGTTAGGTTTGTATGCTCCTTTATTGTTAATGGGCCAAAATGGTTTTTGGCAACAGTGTGACATAAAATGCTCGACCCAAGTTAAGAAAAACAATGATTGCACAAATAAATCAAGTTCCTTCTAAGGCTTCTTTCCATGACAACTTTAGTAAGAGCATAATTTAAAAATCCGGACTGGACCGCCGGTCTGACAGAAGAAAACCCGGAACTGGCGCCTCTCCCGGTTTTTGAAGCTCATTGGACCGGCCTGCAATCAGCCTGATCGGAACCGATCGAACTGTCTGGTTTCTAACCAGTTTTCACGTAAACCGGGAGGAAAAAACCGGAACAATTGAACCATGCATGTATGTATGAAATAGAAAAAAGTATTTGCTATGGGTGGGAATCAAACCCAGGTTACCCAGGAAGCTAGATGCAGATTTAAGATTGGCACATCAACCATCTCGCCGTACGGAAGTTTTTGTGAAATGTTGGAAGATCAACTTGTTTTATCTATTTGTGCATACATTTTTTGTCTAATAAAACAGCGATTGAACCAGTGAACCGGCAGTTCGACGGGTAAAAATTAGAACTGATAGGCTCACCGGTTTGATTTTTTAAACTATGAGTAAGAGATGCTAATAGAATGATGTTAACTTCTTCTAAAACAGAAAGAAAGGAAATATATGGCTACCTCTATTAATTAGTTGACAATCTTCCTTAACGCACAAGCAAAAATTGTTTCCTCTACTGAATTAAATGTCATCTGTTCGTCAAATGTTATTTAACTATTTATCACATATTTTCAGAGATCGGCAACCATGGGTTCATGTTAATACCACCAAAGCATAACCTATTCTAAGACCATGCTTCCTCCATTCTTCTTAAGTCAAACCATCCAAATATATATGCCCTAAGATAATAAGCTCCATATTTTTGGACATTACCGCATCAGAATTCATAGTACAATTATTTTTATAGGAAATGGAAGCTTTCATTGACTCTGATGATAACTACTCGAATATGTGACCAACTTATAAACTCACAAAGTTATAATATCATGCAATTCTCTTTGTGCTTGTTGTTTAAATATTCAGCAAGAGAATGGAAACCAAGTTTGACTGGACGCATAGAACTAACATCTTTATTTATAATCACAAGTATACACAACCAATGTATACCTTTCAAGCTACGTAGGTCGGGCCGGCAAATAAATAAATAAAAACATCACATATCATCGAACAAGGAAATATATTGTGGAAACAAACAAAACTTTGCAGGCCAATGCGAGGATTAACAACTCTTGGTACGATCTCCATCCATCACCAAACACCACCCACCACCAATTTCATACGCTATGCAATTGAATTGATTGACATTAATAAACAAAATGCGATCTAAGTAGAACCACTAATCATGAATTTGCAACTTAATCCCATTGGATCGTAAGGCAGTGCAATGTTGTGACGCAAGCATGGATCGAAATGGTGGGAGATGGTAATCGTCGTATCACCTCAGCGTCGTCAGCTTCCAGCTGCGGCCCCTGTCCAGCGGCTCGCTGCTGCCGGTAACGTCGTCCTCACGGTCCATGGTCACGGTGGTGTCCTGGCTGGCGGCGTCCGCCACCGGCACGATCTCCCTGTTCCGCCGCTCGCCGCCGAACTTGAGCATCTCGACGACCTCGGCCATGGTCGGCCTGCCCTCCGCGTTGCTCTGCGAGCACAGCATGGCCGTCTCGACCACTGCCCGGAGCTGCACGGCGTCGAACCGCCCGGTGAGCCTGGGATCGGCGAGGCGGTCCCACTTGCGGCGCTCCACGAGCGGCCCCGCCCACTGCACGATCTCGCGCTTGACGCCGCCCGGCAGCTTCTCCAGCGGGCGGCGCGCGCTCACGAGCTCCAGTAGCAGCACGCCGAAGCTGTAGACGTCGCAGCTCTCGGAGACCTTCCCCCACATGGCGTACTCCGGCGCCAGGTACCCGAGCGTGCCCTTGACCCGCGTGGTGAGGTGGGAGACGCCCTCCGGGATGAGCTTGGCGAAGCCGAAGTCGGCCACCTTGGGCACGAGGTCCGCGTCCAGCAGCACGTTGCTGGCCTTGATGTCGCGGTGGATGATGTGCGGGCTGGCCTCGTGGTGCAGGTACGCGAGGCCCTGGGCGGCGCCGAGCGCGATGGCGAGGCGGCGGGGCCAGTCGAGCGGGGGATGCTGCTGGGAGGCCGGGGTGCCGCGGTGCGGGTGGAGATGAGTGAGCAGGCTGTGGTTGGGCATGTAGTCGTAGACGATGAGCCGCTCGTCGCCGCCGGCGTAGAAGCCGCGGAGGCTGAGCAGGTTCTTGTGCCGGACACGGCCCAGGATCTCCACCTCGATGGCGAACTCCATCTCCGCCTTGGCCGTCATCGCCTTCAGCCGCTTCACCGCAATCTGAACGAACGTACGATGTCGATCCATGAGACCTGTAGGCCAACCGCGCGCCGGTAGATCGCCGGCCGGCGGCGGCAACGAAGAACGGATCACATAATCAATTTACCGGCGTACCTCGACGCCCTTGGAGGTGCGACCCCAGTAAACGGTGCCGAAGCCGCCCTCGCCGAGCTTGTTGCTCTCGTTGAAGTTGTTGGTCGCCTGGAGGAGCTCCTTGAGGGTGTACATCTCCCAGGGGAACTCCACGCTCCTGTTCTTGTTCTTGGACCCCCTCCTCGACGGATCCCTGCTCCCAAACACATCAACACCGCACACCAAAACGCATGCAACTCAGCCAAATCCGTCTCACCAAATGAATCAAGAACTAAACAACCGTACGGGCATGCAAGCATGTGTATGTGTACCTCCGGCGGCGGCTGGGGGCAGCCTCCGGCTCGGAGTCGCCGCCGGGGGCGACGCAGCAGAGGCACCGGTTGATCATTTCCTCAGACGGTGGACGACGTGTGGAACAACCGCGCGTCGATCGAAGAGCTAGCGCTGAATCCCTGCAAGATGGAGGCGAGCTGGGGGGTGGGTGGATGCAGTGGTGAGAAACCAAGGCTGAGATAGGGATGTTCCAAGGGCAGCAGCTTTGCTTCTTGTTTGTTTCTCCGGGTACAAGACTGTCCTCCTCGTGTTTGCCTATCTCCTTGGAGACTTCACTCTCGTCTATTGTGGATCACTCCCCGCTTGCCAGCTGCCTGCTGTACATCTGCCTCCAGAAGGGCCTTTTGTAAGCGCCAAAATTTCAAATTCTCAGTGTGAAGCAAATGTGTAGCTTCCAGATGGTCAAAGGAACAAAGTCATGATAGTAGTTGCTAAATAACTAAAATAAGTTCCAAGTTTCGAATGGAAAATACCGAAAGATATTTCTTAACATTTGCGAAAAAATCCGAGAAAGAATGACAAACCTCCCGGTCTCCGCACCATGAATGCATACCGCCATAACTATATTGTCCGGTTTCAATGTCGTATTTATAATCGTCTACGTCTGTATTGTGTTAAAGAAAACTATATTGCCTGCTGCCAAATAAAAAGACTTACAAAGGTGACATGAAAATGATAAACACTGAGTCATCCCGAGTCCATCAGCAAAACGACCCCAATAGACTAGCTCATGTGCCACCGCTCCCTCGCGGCACCGGGGCATCCAACCCTAGCCGCCAGAGGAGGATTCAAGCCAACCTCGCCTCGCTACCACAGCTGCAGACGTTGGCCACGGTCACGGCGGGCCCCTGCTACGAAGGTAGTGGGGCACTCGTGTGCCAGATCCGGTGGTGGTTCTGGGAGCCCGGGGCGGCAGCCCCGGGGATGATCGCGTCGGCTCACCGGACGGCGTAACTACGGGTGCTTGGCAGCAACCGTCAGCTGCGAGGGCAGTGATGGGACTGTTGCAAGGCATTCCTGCAACAACGAGCGGTGGAGCATCTGGGCCAGATTTGGTGCGAATCCATCCATTCTCTGCCAGGTCTGGCCTGCTGGTGGGCCACAGTGGCGTGCTGCCACTTTGCGTGGGACGGCGGGCTCACTCGGTTGGTGGCTGCAGTCGGTGGTTGGCCGGTATGGGCATGTGGTGGCGGCACATCTCCGGGAGAAATTCCCTTTCCGGCCTTCGCTGGTTCCCACGACGGCAACGCCTGTGGGCTGCAATCTTTCTTGAATGTCTTGTCATGGAGTTGTGCCCTTACCTATACCTATGGATTGGCTCCAGAAGGACACTTTTGACCCTATGGATTGAGCGATGGAGGCATCCTTGCGCCTCTCTTCTCCTTGGGGGCATGGCCTTGGAGCCGGCGAGTGCAAACTATGGATGACGGCTTGACGCAAATGGATGGTTGTGCAGTGGCGGATTGCACCTCGCATGTAGCTACTTGGATCATGGAAAAGTGGTGGCAACAACACCGACTCAGATGGTGGTGCTACTCGAGCACCCGGTCTCGAGCTCCGGGGTGAAAGCATATGTCTGACCTGAACCAACATACTTAGCAATGGCGATGTTTTTGCATCGTTATCTTGTTGAGGACATTGCTCAAATATGTTTGGACTGCCTCTTCAGGGTGAAAGCTTAGAATTTGACTTTTGTTGGTTGATCCGTCGACCGTGGCACTTGAGCATCGCTCGCTTTCTTAAGGCATTGTTGCTGAAGAATATCGTCGTCCTTGTGGTGTCATGAGATGGTTGGTGTGTATAAGGTCATTGTTGTAGTTTGTCCATCACAGATTTGGCCGCTTTTGTTTTTGTTTTTTTGCCTACGCATATCTTTAGCCTTATATGTCTTTGCTATTTGCCGGCATATTTTGTGTGTGTGCGTTGGTGTCGGTTGTGTGCATCCTATCTATACTCAAGCCGGATGTGTGTGCTCAATGTGTTTTTATCCTCTTGATTCTTTATTTTGAGGCGATAAAATCCGCCCTTCATAAAATAGTCCGAGTCCATCTTCTTTAAAACTCATAAGTCACAATTGGCCTCGCGGAAGTTTTCTTCTCAATCGCCGCCACCACAACCACCGTTTGGAGGCCACAGCGGCAAGGATAGGAAGTGGAAGGTAAACAAGGTTCGTTGGGTGAGAGATGGACATGAGTTTTGAGCTGATATGATTTTATATTATAAAAAGAGACGGTCATTGCATATTTGCATATATGCTCTATCATAGCTAGGTTAGAATTTGTTCACAACCCAAAAGTTCACATGAAAACGTTCAGTTCCGGCAAAAATCTTAGAAAATTCCCGTGTCCCAAGACCAGTAACAACAATCTCTAAATAACAATATATTAACGGGAATGTTCCTGTTGATTCAAGAGCAGCTGCTGATATGAAGGAAGACAACCAAGCCTCTTCTATTTAAGCCAAGGCAATAATAAGATATAAGGGGAACAATAGGTGTGCTTCGCCTCTTAGCCGTTGATCCATTGGCTAGCCTAGTATCGCCTTTTTCTCTTCTTCTTTTTTTGTGTGCATGTTCCTGTTGTTGTCTAGCGGATTTAACGTTTTTTTCAACCTTGGACTTGATGTATGGATGCGGTGGTTTGCTTTTTATATAAAGTAGGGTAGAAACTTGTTTTGAGGAATTGGCATAAGTGCAAAGCAAGATATTTGTCTTCTTTTTTAAAGAAGGGAGCTCCCTCTCTGGACAAAATCGATGTGTTTTTAAGCTACAAAAGCATTACAAACAATAAAGAAATAACATGAAAGAAGAGACAGAGACATCACTCTGCGAGGGGAAAGGATGCGTAGTTGTATAAGAACAACTAAACACCACATCCCATGAGTATCACTTCACACAAATAGATAGAAAAGAAGCGATCTAGAAAAAATAACTGGCCCCACGTCATCCTCCCACCGTGACACAGGAGATGCCCCATCGCCGCCAACTCTTGCCTCCGCTCCGCCTCCTCCTTCCCTCGCCATCATTGGTTGACATTGCCAGACAAAGCCCTAGAGGTAGGTGGCGACGGGGTTCTTCTCTTCTCATCCCCCTATTCTCATCTCCCCCTCTTGCAATGTTGACCGCTTCGTCACTTGGAGGCTCCCTCGCCGCATCCCTGTGTTCCCTCAGGTGCCCTAGCTCCAGAGCAGGCGGTTGTGTCATGGATATGGGACACAGGTACCCTCACACAGGTAGAATGAGGCCGAACATGGGGGTAGCCCATCAGGCCGGCTCCAACTATCTGAATAGCACCCGAACTATAATATCCAACTTGTAATATAAGATGAGACTAGTTTGTATCCTACTAGGACTCTACATGTAAGCCGCCACTTCCACCTATACAAGGAGGAGCAAGGCGTCCCAAGAAGGCAGAATCTCTAGGGCTAGATACAACTAGAGGAGAGCCGGCTCATACGGCGACTCCGTCATGAGCCTACATAATAAGATCTAGCCACAAACAACATGTAGGGTTATTACCGGATGATATTTCCCGGGCCCCGAAGCTGTCTAAATTGCTAACCTACCTCGACGATCTCCACGCATACTAATCCCTGTAATCATCGTTAGATGATACTGTTGATAAACAACATCGACATTGACGCCCACATTAGATGAATGGGCGCCAATGTCGATGTTGTTTATCAACAATATCATCTAATAGTGATTTGTTTTTCTTTGTTTGTTTGAAACCTCACACCATAGAACAATTTTTCTACGGTAAATTATATATAATCAGTATATTACAAAGATGGGGAGGAAACTAGAGAAAAACAATAATAATTGGCCTAACGATTTGGCCAGTACCGCTTTATTTTGTTACTTTGAATAGGCCGGCCTTTTCCTCCTTTTTGCGTAGTAGATTAAGAGAAATGCCTCGATGAAGGACTTGCAGCCTCCCGGATTATAACAAAACTATAATAAAAACAGAGAAATGCGTAGCTGCGGACGTAATCAGCTAGCGACGTGTGCCGCCTCCACTTGTTCCCATATGTTAACGGATGAATCAGCATCGCCTAGCCAGGTTAATTGGTCAATGGACGCACCAGAGGCTGACTTTCGAATTAACAAATGTGACACGAAAGGCTAGTTTGAAACCAAATAATAATAACCATAAACGGCAAGTGATAGGACCTGAACAACAGACTATACTTGGTGCCGTTGGTGCAATATATAATGAATCTCAAGTTAATTAATCTATTCAAATGATGCAACTGAGGTTATGGATCAAAATGAGTAGTACAATTTTCATCGAGGAATCGGCTTTGCCGCCCTGCTAGTCGTCGTCCAGACTTCGTTTCATACGCCGTGGGTGGTCTCGATCAGGTGAAAGTA